TTTGAGTACAAGAGATTGGACTCAAATATTAATATTAAAATAGCAAATACGGATAGCTTATCGAACAAAGAAATAAGAGAAATAATTATTATTATTCCATAGATACGAAGTATTAGGCGAATAAACTAGCGAAACTTATTTATTCTAAATAGGAAAATATTTATGAAGAGTATTGATTCTGATTTCTAACAGCAAATAATTATTAGTGATTATACATGAGAACTTTTCATAATTGTAAATAACATATACCAGGTGACTAAAAACTATATAGAAATACATAGATACTTTAATTATCTTACATGTGAGTAGGTAGGTACATTACAATTCTTTAAATAAACTTCTGTTGATCGAGACTGGCTGAATGACAATTGTCCAAGCTTCAAAAAAAATTATTTTTTGAAACTTTTAATTTAATTTTTAAATGAACCTTTGTCAAAATATACTGAGTAATTATAGTACAATTACATCAAATATTGTTCGGACAACGCAATTAGAAAAATAAAAAGTTTATTTTTATTTTTTACTACTTAAAAATTATAACTTTATCTAGACGTCATCTGTGGGTTCGACATTCCGGAAATTCGACTCTTCTAGATTTAACAGAGAATCAAGTTGGTCAAAAATTTCTTTGCAGCTATCATTTTACTGATAGCAATATAAAATCAATAAACCAAAACGGTAAGAATATATTAAAACCTACAGCTATTCTTAAAAATGAGGTAACCTCTGCTATATTCGAAGCTTTGCAAAATAGAACTGATAATTCTTATTCAACAATTAACAATAAATATTTATTCAGTAATGACTCTTAATTAAATCTCAAAATTCCTATATCACTTAAAAGTGAACCATACCGTCAAAATCTAAATGATGCACACATGTCTTCGTCGTTGGATTTTTCAAATTGTGACCAAAATTTTTCTTCATTTTCTAATAACTACCCTAACTTAAGCGATAATTGTATTCAGAAAAATTCAGTCCAAATCCAATTAAATAAAAAAAATGAAGAAGTTAAAAATGCACAAGATGCATTAAAACGATTAAAAACTACATCAGAGTTAAAAATAAATAAAATTGTAAACAAATATGAGGCAAAAAGTAAATCTAAAAACAAAGTGATTAATAGGTATAAAAACCAAGTATATATGTTATATACAACTTAACTCGTAAATGAAATAAACGTACAAAAGCTTCAAACGAAGCAATAAAGTTTAAAAAATTATTTAATAAACTTGATGACGAAATAAAAGTATTTTTAGTTAGGCAAATTAACCATATTCAGAAAAGTAAATGGACTGAAAAAGATAAACAGTATGCTATATCTTTATTTTATAGATCTCCAAAAGCGTATTGCTACCTTCGAGAGAAAAAAAAACATTTTAAGTTTCCATTGCGTAAGTAACATTAGAATTTGGATTAATAAGTTAGATTTAAAACCCGGTAAATGTAACACTTTGTTGACATTATTACAAATTAAATCGTCGCTAATGCACTCCAAAGAAAAGGAATGTGTTTTATCGTGGGATGAAATGAGCATAAAAAAGTGGCTAGATTATAATACTAAAAAAGATATCGTTGAGGGGTTCACATATTTGGGAGAACTAGGTCGCTCTCCAACAGAAGGTAATCACGTTTTAGTTTTCATGTTAAGAGGTAGACAAACTGATTGGAGGCAATCTATTAAGTACTATGTCGCCCATAACTGTGTACCTGGAAAAAAACTAAGCAATTTAATTCTAAATGATTTAGATTTCTCTGAAGAAGCCGGTTTTAAAGTTAAAAGTGTGGTTTGCGATATCGGCCGTAGCAGTCAAACTGCGATAAAAAATTTGGAATAACGCCAGAAAAACCATCCATTGAAAAATTTGGTCGAAATTTTTTTTTTAATTATGACCCTCCTCACGTAATTAGATGAAACTATAACGCTACTATATAGCAATTCCGAATTTAATTGATTTACAAAAATCATTCGATGAATTAAATGAAGTTATTGAAGAAAAAAATGATGGACAAATAAGCTTTAATAATAAACGTATTGATTCTGTAACTGATTTAGAGGTTTGCGCTTTTATGGATGCAGGGGATGAGATGTCAGAAAAACATGATGCAAATATTAAGAATACTATTTATTCTAATGATCCTTTAAACAAATGCTCACGGTTTTCAGATGCACAAGATTGTAATAGCGATAATGATGATTCGATAATATCTTATAAGGAAGTTGATGACTTTGTCGAAGATGAATTAGATAGTACTTCTAGCTTGAATGAAGTTTTTGATTGTAAATCATTTGATACAAATGTGACCATCAATGAGGAACTTTCAGAAACGAGTTTTAAATGTTTATCAATATTTGAAAGAGTATCAAATAATGCATCTTCGACTGGCTCAACTTCTCTTTATCTCAATTCACTCAAGTACCTTGCCGGATATTTTGCATACAAATGTCTAAAAAAACTAATTGTGAAAAGTGTGAAAATTATTTTGTTCATAAAAATGTTAATTTTATTTCAATGACAGATCTTTTATTATTTTTTAAAGCTTATAAAGTTTCTCAAAATACTAACAAACTTGGTAATCTTTGCGTACCTACAGAAGTAATACATATTTCACTTGATATTTTTGATGTTAAGTTTAAAAATGTTTGTTATTTGGAAATTGTCAGTAAGTTGATTTTAAATGGTATAAAAAAAATTAAATGAAATCAATCCATCATTTTTAATCATTGACGACTCTTGTAAATCACATCGACAACGGTTATTAGAATTTTTAGTTATCAATAGGTCATCAATAGGTAATGTAAAAAAGCAATTTCAATTTTAGAATAAAAATTTCTTAAATATTTGCTCCGTGCGTAACTCACGCGACACCTACCGCCTTCATCTGACAGTTTTGGACCCCCAATTTTCAGGTTAAACATATGACATATGTTTGACATTGTTAAATACATGCGAAATTGACAATTATTAATAATTAGTTTTTTAATTATATTTTTTCAGTTTATGTACAAAATAAATGTAGTATTAAAACTGGGTTTCTCACAATTCATCATAATATATCTTTTCAACCCAAACGGAAAAGAAATGGAAAAATCTAGTACTGGAAAATTAAGTTTTTCACGTGAAAGACCATATAATTAAAAACAATAATAATAAAAGTTATGATATAAAAGCTAAAGTCATCAGGCAGTTAGCTTGAAGCCTTATGAAATATTATTTAAGGTAAATTATTAAAATTTTTCCTATTTCAATAGCATAAAAATGAAATTATGTGATATTTACTTTTTCATGCTAATAGCACAAATCCATCTTTTTCTTTTCTTTAATTTATATGTAATCTTTGGGAACCTATAAAAACTACACTCAATATTTTTGCTATTATTAGCACAATTAAATACGCAACATGTATTTGTACACATTTTTGATAAAATTTATGCGTAAAAAGATAGGTCCAATTAGGTCATATTTCGCCGCTAAGCACGCTGGCATCGTTTCAAGGTACCCCTACCATGGTCACGCACGGAGCGAATACATTCAGCTATAACAATTTTTAGATTATTTTCTTCAATACCTTATCTATTTGTTCAATTTTTTTTATGCTTTTATTTCACTGCTTTATATTTTAAGTTATACACAGAATGTCATTAATATTATAAATATTATTATTTTTCCTTTTAATAATATTACTAATACCTTTATTAGTTAATTATGTTTTAGTACTAGTTGTTATTTTAAAAGATTAAATAGTACCCATACAGCGTAAAAACTTTCACATAGACTATTCATTAAAAGTTACTGTTAAATATTTCAAAAATAAATCAGGAATGCTTTTTGTTCTTATTAAAAAATTATGGATGAAATGGAAGTTTCGGCGAAATGGAAAATTTCATAATTTAGTAAAAAGTTTCATTGAATACTTTTTTGAACAGGACATTTGTTCAATGAAATAATTTGAAAAATTATCTAAAAAGTTTGACGAAAAGTCCTGAAAAAATTAAATTTTTGGTTGAAAAATTTTGAAATTTTTTACAAATGTTTCGTTAATTTTTGGGCAGAAAAACAGTATAATAAAAAGTTATGTGACGGTGTTTCGTAATGTAGGATATGTGTATGAATATTTTTAATTCAAAGTTATGAAATTAAAAAAATAAATACTTTGAATATTGTAAATATCATACATTTTTAAGTTTTAAAATTAAAAATTTAACAATTTAATATATTAAAATTAAAGATTTTATTGTGAAAAAACAAAAAAAAAAGACAGTTTGCAAATCAATGGCATCGAAATTTGTTTAGGCGTAGATGCAAAGTTACATAAATAGCTCGGTTCGTACTCCTTTCCCACTTCCCCCTAACTACATATTTCATTAAGCCGACGGCCACGGCACCACGCTTTGGGTTTATGCAGCCACCCTCTTAAGGAGTGTTTTGACGTATAAACCGTAACCAAATGGCCCATTTGAACTGCTCTTCTATAAGCGTCTATATTCTTTGCTTGAACAATAAAATAACTCTTTTTAGGCCTCGTACAGCTGATTGAAATGTCAAAAGCGAGGATCTTCTATACATCCTTGATCCTCAAAAGTTTGAAAATGTTTGTTTGAGGTAGCCATACACTACTCAAATATCTACGTTGTTATTTATTATTCGAATTCATGCGAAATAAAACAATCTGATTGTAGTAATTAGTTAAATAAGTAGAAATAAAAGAGAGATAAACATTATGGCCTACGCGAATACAAAAAATGCTCTGAAAACTTCTGTTTTGTTTTTAAACGACAAAAAAGCTTTAAAAAAAACTTAAATATGAATGCTTTTCAGTAAATAGAAACTTATTAATACAAATCAGTAAAAGCATAATTGTTAAGGAATTTTCCTGAATATTAAAATTCATTTTTAACAATTTTACATAAACACCTCCGCCCATGGATTTTCACAGTCATTCTTAAAGAGGAAGAATCTTAAACGAAACGAACAAAGCTTTTAAGTCATGACAGAGAAGTGACAGTGTGACAGAAATAATCATAACCTCAATCCTTTTGAGAATCGACATTGCCTAGAACCAACAAATCCACGCATTCTTTAATAATTTACTTATTTTGAGATTGTTTTACAAGTAAAAAATGTCGAAGGGCTACGGCGATGACTTCGAGCAGGTGAATATGTTCTTAAAATTTAAGATATTTTACATTACACTTATTATATTTCAAAAATCTTACCTACATGTTTGGCAGGCACTAATCCCATATTTGTAATGTATTTTAACTTTCTTTTTACATTTAACAAACAATTTTTTCATTTTTGAACACAAATAAGACAAAACATTGTTTCATATCTATAACAAAAACTTTGACATTGATATTTACAGAAATAAACAAAAATTCTTAAGGCTTGTTGGAAGTAAAATAGTTTTTATGTTATTTGCAGCATTGAATGTTTGAACCTACCAATAACAAATTGCCAACTAAGATTTAGATCTAACTAAAACATTTGACTATTTTTGTAGGGTTATGACTATGGATATGATGATTATGGATCTCATACAGGAGATCCAAACTTGGACGAACATAATAGACAACACTTTAAAATGCCCGATAGTGTGAAAAACTTCTTGGTCTACTTTCGTAACAATGTAAATGAGGGATTAATTTTTGAGTTGCAAGCATTGTATGAACACACATGGCCTAAGCTTACAGAAGACTACTTTGAAAAGAGGCCATGGCCCGAAGAGAATGAAGTAGCTGCTATTGTAGACAATGATCCTGTAAGTATTTTAATGTTTATTTGCATGTTATTCAGAATATGTTATTTATAAGTATGTTGTAAGTATAATAAGTATGTTATTCAAAAACATATAGTATTCAAATATTATTGTGGGTGACACTTCTACAAAAATTACTTTAATCTAGCATAGCGTGTTAATTTCATTATGTGGACTCTTTTCCTACAAATAGTCATCTAATGCATACCCACATGTCCTCTTAAGATGTTCACTGTATTTCCCTTATTGGTAATTTTATGCCACTATGGTTAGTTGGTTAAATTTTGGTTTCATGCAATGAACATAACCTATAGATTTATTTGAGATTAAATGTAAACTTAACATATGTCAGTTTTGCCATATCATTAACTATTTCACACTCTCACATCTAAAATTAAAAATTGGGCAAGACACTTAATATAATAATTAAATGAAATGAAAATTGAAAACAAACAAAATATGAAAAATAAATATATAATACAAAGTATTTAAATTATGCCTATAAATAATATAGAATAAAATTATATCTTTAATTTTGCATGTGAAAAATACTTATACAGTAGACTCCCTCTATAAGAGAACTGAAATGGCAGACTAATTACCTCGTTATAAGCCGATCTCATTATATCAGACAACAATAATACTGTGCATACATATGAATAGTATGTTTATATGTAGTTTTCTAAAACAATAACTTCCTATAGTGAAGTCATTTGGAGCAATATAAGATGCAAAATATTGTTTGAATGGCGTTTTTGAAAAAAAAATTGTTTACTTTTATTGTCAATGAAACACATTAATACAAAAAAGAGTTGTTTACTTTTATTGTCAATGACACAGAATAATACACAAACAGAATGCCCACTCTCCATGGAAAATTAAGTATGCGCATCTCCTTCACACAGATGTTCCGCCATGTTTTAGAGGGATCCAGTGTTGTTTATGTGGTGTGCATAGAAAAATTAACCCGGTTTAATTGACTTACGGCAATCATAGACATACTATACAATTATATTAACATTGTTAAATATAATTACATAAATATAATTCCGAAGTGGAAATTGAAACGTCAATAAACATATTTTTTATCTTTAATTGTGGCTTATTCCCAGTTAAATAGTAATTAATTTAAAATGCCACAAGAAAATAGCTTCAGAACAATATAAATATAATATAATTAAACATAAATATAAACAATTACATAACCTCACAAATCATATGTCTGTGTTATGTGTTTCCTTCTAAAACATGGCGTGCGTGCTGAAAAACTTCAAAGGCGGCATCTGAGAGTGGGCATTCTGATTGTTTATTATTCTGTGTCAATGATATACATTAAAACAAAAAATCTGTACCTACGTTTTTTCCAACTACATAATATATAAAGTATGTTTTCAAAGACAACATAAACTATTGCTTCTGCATTTCGAGGAAGTCTGTCATTTTTGACCACTTTAAATTGTCCAGTATCATTCTATATATCCTATTTTCTAAAGAAGTTATATGGTTGTTCATTTGTATTTTGTCTTGAATAAAGTTTCTTACAATGTATAAAGCACTTTCCACATCTTGTCTATTAGGACCTTCTTCACCACAATTGTCTTCCCCATCTTAATCACTTTCGTCACTGATGATAATGTGTTCCTCCGGCAGATTACTTACTTCCGTGATAATTTCACTATCTGTTGGAAGATTACAAACAATAACGTCATCATCAATGGCAATGAATTCAGCAAACTCCTTATCATTGTTCAGTTGGGTTAGCTGCTACAGGATATTCATCTTCTTCGTTTTTTACCTCAGTCTCTGTGCACCCACATGACTGAAACATTTTCTGATTTTTTTTTCTCTACAAGGGTCTATGCTTTGTAGATGAAATTTATGGCATCTAATAAAGTAACAGGAGATTCACTATGGTTTTCCACATTATGCAGGATCTGCTTAACTAAAAGTTTTATGTAGTGAACTTTAAGGGACCTCATGATGCCCTGATCTATTGTTTGCAGAACAGATGTGCAATTTGGGGGTAAAAAAAAGCAATTGAATGATTTAACTGGTTAACTTTCGGATGGGCTGTACAATTGTCAACAATTTAAAGGATCTTTTGATGTCCCAACTCTCAGTCCCACTTCAAAAGTTCTCCACTAAAAACCTCTACTGTCATCCACGATTTTTTATTAAATTTATATGTGACAGAAAGCTGATTCTCACCTCTGAAAAATTGTGGTTTTTGAGATTTCCCAATGATGACCAACTTCCTTTCTTCAGAACCGAAAATGTACATGCGAGTACAGCTACCCTTTCTTTTGATAACTTGCCACGTAAAAAACGTTTATTTTTGAATTTGATGGTCTTATCTGAAGTAAGTTTAAAAAAAGTCCCAGCTCGTCAGCATTGAAAACATTATCATCACTGTAAATTTGTCTTATTGTAGACCATGACTTCAACTAGTTGTTAGTGACTTCTTTGGAATCACTCTTCGCTTCACCGCAAATTTTTCCACATTTAATTTCGTGCCTTGTATCGAGTTATTTATTAGTCGCGGCACGTAGTTTTTTCGATTTACTGTAAAAAGACGAACCTGCTATGAAAATCTTATGTTTATTTTTGAGCATATAGTAGATAGAGTGGAACTTGAAATTTCTCTTTCACGACAAACTTCTGCTTTCTTCTTATCGTTCTCAGCATCTTTAAGGATGTTAATTTTTTTCTAAAGAGTAAAGTACTAAAGTACTAAAGTACTAAATGTAAGACCAAATACTTACCATATCAAAATAGTATTATGAGCTTTTTTCTGGCTTTTTCCTCATGATTTACTATGGAATCACTAACAGGAGAATTTTATTGTCATCATGGCATATGGTTGTCTTTTTAAAGACTAATCTCATGCTACTGTATTGTATTGTATATTGTATTAACTGTCTTACAATAAAGTCATCCCAGAAAAACAAAATTTGTTTAATTTATTAATGTTTGTATTCTGATAACGATTTCCGAAGTGGAAATTGAAACGTCATTAAACTTATTTTAAACTTCAATTTTGACTTATTTCTATTAAAATAGTACTTAATTGCTTTAAATCGGATGCTTTAAAAATCAAAGAGTTTAAAAAATTTTAACTTTCCAAAACTTGTAGTACTTAAAATTTTCTATAATATAAGCTTTGTATTAATGAAATATATTTAAATTAAAGAAGTTATACTCAGAAAACTATTTACATTTTCGTGTAAGTTTTTTCAAAGTAGGTTTTTTCCAAATGTATACATTTTAAATGGTTAAAATTTTAGGACATGTTGTTGATTCATAAATAAAGTTAATTTTACGTGAAATAAGATTAATTTTCATTTTTGTGAAAAATATAATAACTTAATTTCTTCTTTTTCCTTTTTTTCATGAGATAATCGTGTTTTTTTTCACTTGTTTTCCATCCGAATCGCTTATGGCTTAACTCATTTTAAAGATTGCATTAAAAGTTTTAACAATATTTTGGGGCATTTTTTTAAAAACCTGTTCTTTTTACGTTATTTGAAGATCAAAGTTTCGTTTGTAGATTAATTCAAATAAACCCTCCCCTTCATCATGTTGTAACTCGGGTTGTATAGCCGCGATAAAAGAAAACAATTTGATTTATTATTTTAGAAGGTTTCTTTTTTTATTTGTATGGCTTTTTTTTAAATATACTGTTTTAAAGTTATTTTTGAAAAACCACTCAAAAACATGTATTTTTTAGATAGGAAATCAACCATTTCAAGCGTGAATAAAATTTTAACTTACCGAGAAAAGTCTGTAAAGAATTTTTTTACTATAAATTGAATTCTCTATCGAGTTCGGGGATTTCGAGATTAAATATTTTCACCCCCGAGAGGAGGTGGCACTCACCCCTGGGGTTAAAGCGCACATCGTCACTATATAACTTTTTTTAATATGTTTCCTATGCGCATTTTAAATTTTACGTCAATCGAAGCGGTTCTTTAAAATCCTGAGAAAAAACCATGAAAGAATCCCCTTAATTAGAGGTAACTTTTAATAAAAGTTTTTTAAACCTTAAAGATTATTTAATTGTAATGATTTTTATATTAAATGTACCTTCTGATCCCATATCTGAGACATCCTTGATTTTCTCTTTCACTTTGTTCTGTTTGCTGGCAAATTCGCCTTTTAATTTTTGCTCCAATTCTTCTTTTTTGCATTTCAATTGATTCCTGTACTCTTCCATGATGGTACAGTAAGTTTTCTGACAGCTATCAGCACGAACTGAAATAAGGAGAAAGGATTTTCTGAAGTCTATGAATTTATTATTCTTTTATCGACCGATACGATACTTAACCCAATTTTTACTTGGTAAAATCAATTAATTGATTAATGTTAAAGGAGTTTGGGTTTAATTTAATTGAATAACTAAACAGTCGGATTGTTTCTTAATGGTAGTAATTATCGAGCGGTTCTGTTCTGTTTGTGTTGACGACAAAAGTTACTGAAACTTAAAAATGCACGATAATGGAAATAAATTCGAAACTCGAAACTCTCGAAAAAATCGAGACTATTAACAGTTTTAAAAAGCTACAAAGAAAGTAATCAGGCGAACGCAAAAAAATTCAATTTTTCAGTAGCAATTTTGAGGGGATAAATCGGGGAACTAACGATTTTTCCGTGGCATTTGTTAATACAGGTATCTAACAATTGCTTTTGATAACTTTGGTTATAACAATATCTAATAAACAAAATATGCAAGATTACACGTCATTTTCTACTTATAAAGACTATTTAAACAATGTAGTATCGCTATTTGATATTAAATACTAAAGGTGAAAACTGGTAAATTATATGAAAGGTGACACAATGTTACTGAAAAAGCAGAGGAAAGGTCAAAAAGGTTTGATGGTTGGATTTTCAAGGTCGGCGAGGTTTTTTTTGTCCCCTCATATAGGTATACCGTCTAATAAAAAGGCTTCAATCATCATAGTAGATTTTGTTTTTTTTATACAATTAGAACTTAAACATGTTCATAAATTAGCTCTAGTCTACGTTGTTTGGAAGTAGCAAAATGGGTTATAAAGTCATCGTAAAATTTATTAGAGTTTTGGAGAGGTTTTAAAAGTTTTTTTTCTGTTGACATTTGAGACAAGCTTGACATTCTCTCTTTTGATTCTTTTAAGACAAGAAAGAAAAATCTCGTTTATTTGAGGCAAAAGTTGGTGGTAATGAGAGAATTAATGAAACTAATTTATTTGCAGTATATAATATTATACATATATCTTGTAACTTATCCCACCTTCCGAAAATATTTGGATCAGCATAAAAAACTTTAAATTCATTTTCTAATTTTATTGTATTAAAGAATGATGGATAATTTTTAATTAACCTGTGTAATAAATATCTTGGAAATTCTTTTTCCCAACTTATAAATTTTGAATCGTCAAAGAGGTTAAAAATTTGCAAATCTTTAAAGTTCGAAAAACGAGTATCTACTTGCATAATAATAGTATCCAAAATTTCAAAATATACTCGTTTTTCGAGTCTGTGTCATGCCTTTGTCCTTTTTTGGGGGGTTCTGAAATACCAACCGAGTCCAAAAGGCCACTGCGTATATACTAGGTATTACTAACATGTATGTATATAAATCTCTGAGATTTTGCACCAGTTTTGTTATTCTATTTTTGGAATAAATTGTGTCAATTGACTGATTTTCGCCAACATTGAAAATAAAATCGGGTTGGTTAAACACTTTCATAAAAATATTTTTAAAAGTATGTTAAAAGAGTAATCATTTAATAAAGTTTTCAAACCGATTTAGAGCTAGATTTTTCTAACCAGATTCACACCACGAGTGTTAATGTTTGCCTCTGTTTGTCGAAAATAAAGTGCAAGGCCAACAGAAAAGTTTGTTTTTTATTTAACTCCCGGTAAGCCATGAGTATTTGCTGTACCAATTATCCAAAAATGATCGAATATTTCCCTTACCCCGCACTAATATTTATACGCCGGGACATTTTAGGCAAAGGACGCCCCCTTATTTTTTAATAACAATTTGTTCTTCGTAGGGAATAGATGAAAACCCATTTTGTAAAATATAATTTACAATATCAGAGTTATCAATACTTACAGTTTCTTCAATAGCTTGCATTTCTTAGGGTAATTTACCTGCATTTGTTTACACTTTAATACCCCTCTGTGGCTCAGGGGTAAGAGCGCCTGCCTTTAAACCTAAAGGTCGTGAGTTCGAATCCCACCTGAGTGGAAATTTTCGTTTATTAAAAAAAATTAATAAATTAAAAATAATTTCTATCCTTGTGTGATCGGTACACACCGGAGGGACCGCAGACGTTCGGATACAATTAGCGTCTCTTAGCAAAGACAATGACGTCGACTTTGCTAAGTATCAAGACAATTACTCTACACACACACACACACACTACACCTGAAATTGTAAGATTGGCGAATGGATTTAGTGTCCGCAGTCATTTAAACACAAACAAACAACAACAATACACATTAATTAAACAAAAATCAAGTACAGTAGACTCCCTCTATAACGAGAACAGAAATGGCAGACTAATTACCTCGTTATATCAAACAACAATAATACTGTGCATAAATATGAATATGTAGTTTTCTAAAACATTAACTTTGTATACTGAAGCCATTCTGAAATATTGTTTGAATGGCGTTTTTGAAAAAAAGTTGTTTTATTTTATTGTCAACGATATAAGTTCTAACAAAAAATCTGTATAAAACGTATTTTCAAAGATAACAAAGTATTGCTTCTGGAAGAAGCAATTGGAATTGGAAGAAGTCTGTCATTTTTGACTGCTTTAAATAGTCCAGTATTCTATCTATCATATTTTCTAAAGATATTAAACGGTTGGACGCTTTCTCTTTTGGTTTTGTCTTTGAATACAGTTTCTTACAACGTTTAAAGCACTTTCCACATTTTGTCTATTAGGATCGTCAGTGCAATCGATTATTAAGTGCGAATCGTCAAGCCCCTACAATGGCACTTGTGAATCATAAATTGTAAATTTCCGAAGAAGTTTATTGCGGGCAGCAGTTAAAAAAGGTATTCATTTATAGCCACCGCCGTGCCAAAAACGTAAAGAAATACGTTTTTCGATCTTATTTTCTCTCGTTATAACCAAATTTGTCTCGCTTTGGAGGGTTATAGTTGAATAGAAATGTCACGGGACATCTCACGTGTCTCATTATAAGCGAAACCTCGTAATAACCGTGTTCGTTATAGAGGGAGTATACTGTATATTAAAAAATCCTTTAACTATTTAAGGCAGCGCTAACTTGTATTTCTGTAAAAAAATATATTTATAAATTTATGTAGATGTATACTAATCTTTGTAATTATTGTTTTGTCTTTTTCAGGTATTTATGATTTTATATAAAGAACTATACTTCCGCCACATTTATGCCCGCATCCAAGGAGGTCCGTCTTTGGAGCAGCGATTCAATTCCTTCTTCAATTATTGCGACTTATTCAATTACATTCTTAGCGCCGAAGAACCCGTCCCACTCGAACTACCCGATCTCTGGTTGTGGGAACTTATCGACGAATTCGTCTACCAGTTCCAGTCCTTTGCTCAATACAGAGCTCGTTTACAAAACAAGAAGCCTTTGGAATTGGAGACGTTGAACTCTAATAATAAAGTGTGGAATGTGTTGTGCGTTCTTAACGTTTTGCACTCTTTGGTGGATAAGAGTAACATTAAAGCAGCAGCTGGAAGTGTATGCTAGTGGGGGTGATCCGGAGTCTGTTTCTGGCGAATTCGGCAGCCATTCTTTATACAAAATGCTGGGATATTTCTCGTTGGTGGGGCTTCTAAGACTCCACTCTTTATTAGGAGATTACTATCAAGCTATTAAAGTATTGGAAAATATTGAAGTACACAAGAAGTCGCAATATGCCCACATTCCCGCCTGCCAAATATCAACTTCGTACTATGTAGGTTTTGCTTACATGATGATGCGAAGGTATTCCGACGCTATAAGAACGTTTTCATCAATTTTATTGTACATACAGCGTACTAAACAATTATTTGCCTCCAAAACGTATCAACATGATCAGATTAACAAACAAACCGATCAGATGTATCACTTGTTAGCGATTTGTTTGGTTTTACATCCCCAATGTGTCGATGAGTCAATCCAGCAAGTCTTAAGAGAGAAAAGCTACCATGAAAAGATGTACAAAATGCAGTACGGCGACTTAGCAGAGTTCGAGAACAGTTTCGTGTACGCGTGTCCTAAATTTTTGTCCCCTTACCCACCTCCAATCGATTCCGTCTCAGGGGACTATTCAAAAGAGGCTATTCAGCACCAAACTGCCGTCTTTATGGATGAAGTGGCTCAACAGAAAATGTTGCCGACCATCAGAAGCTACTTGAAACTTTACACTACTTTGCCTCTGAGCAAATTGGCCACTTTTATGGCTCAAAATAGCAGAAATAACGAAGGAAGAGACTTGGATAAGGAAATCGAATCTTTGGTTATACATTTATTATGCTTTAAGCATAAGATGAAGAATGTTGTTTGGTCCAAAGGTGCCTCCGGTTTAGAAGGAAAGTTCCAGAGTGGATCAGAGGTAAGTTAATATTATATCGGTAACCATGGTGCAACTATGAGTATTATTCACCAAAAACTAGAGCTGTATGTGAGTTTTGTAAAGAGTACATAAACTCGATAAAATACACTGACCTTTATAAAGCGCTGCATTTGTATTTGTATTTTTGTGGTTGAATTAAAAATAAAAGCGCGTTTCTTTTAAAAGATAAAAAAAAAAATTATACTCTTAAAAATAAAAAATAATTCCTAATAAAAAAAAATTCTTTATGCCCTACAGAAATGATTCAAATATTCGACCTTCTACGGCCAAACAGTATCTCAATCTGTCATAAAATTTGTCACTTATCTGGTAGTTCATAAACTTTTAATATTGCCAAACCTATTGATTAAATTATTTTTTTTTAGCTTGACTTCTACATAGATAATGACATGATCCATATTGCTGACACCAAGGTAGCGCACAGATATGGAGATTTCTTCATTAGGAAGATTATTAAGTTTGAAGACCTCAACAGGAAACTTCACCAACTGAAATTATAATTGTATTTTCTAAATTACAAGAATAAACTTTTGTAATACAATCTATAAACATTTTTTGTTGTTTTTTTTTTAATATTAAGTTATATATTGTAAATGATACGTGACAATCTAGTCACTCAAAATATGAAACAGTTTTTGGTTAAATCCCGACGATTCATATATTAATTATGTATTATGATTAGTAATAAAATCACCAAGAACAAATTCAGCATTTATCGATTTACTGTAATAGTCATGGCAGATAACACTTCTAGGCTTATCAGTTTTTAAAATATTGTTAGTCGTCATGTCGGTCAGATAGCTCAGCGGGCTGTGCGGCTGCCTCTCATTCGCTTCACTGTCGAATGGTTCAGTGGATGTGGGTCGAGCCCCAGCTCGGTGTACGGAAAACAAAAAGTCTAACGCAGCAGTTTAAAATTCTAGATGAATCTGCGGCTTAGACTAGGATATGCTGGGATCTGATCGGCCTATGGTGGAGCAGTACGGCAAGAGATAAGGGCTTGCGGCTCGGTGATACTCCTCCATAGATCCCTACCGGACGGGCGTAACGCCTAAAAAACCGGATATAGATATGTATATATATATATATATATATATTATATATATATATTATATATATATATATATATATATACTTCATCTAATTTAGATAACGACTTACGTCATTATCTACGTCAGAGATCGAAGTTGACATAGTTGCCAAAGTATAAAAAAATCCTGACTCCATTTTAAATCAAATAGATTACATAATTATTGCAAAAGTATTACCATCTCTTTACAACGACTATTTAAATTCTTACGTGACATTTTGAAATAAAACACACTAATTTTGTTCTAAAAAGAACAGATTTTATTAGATAGTGAAAAATATAAAACAAGAGATATTCACTTTAAAATTCAAAATAATGAAGTACAAAATGTGTCAACACCGCAACTGTCAAATAAGTGTTACCAATTTATGCCAAAATTTTACCTTCGTTCGATTACAGTTACAGTGTGTTCCGAACAAATGTTCTTGATAAAAACGCTTTATAATGCATTTATACAAATTAAATGAAACATATTATTGTGTATTTCTTCAAGTTAACATTAGAAATTTTTAAATATGATTTCTACGCGTATATAATAAAATATGTCTAGTGGCTGTAATGTCAGTGTACTCGATAAAGTGGTTCTAAAAAAGAACACACCTACACCCTAAATATTTTGTGTTGGTATCATGTGACGCCACAGGCTATGACGCCGATGACGTGCATCGTTATATAAATTAGATGAAGTGTAGTCGTCATTAGTTTTTAAATAAAGTTCTACAACTAGCTGCATTTTACGTCATCCTGACGTCGCAGACGGACATATAAACATATCTACATTTTTCCGGTTTGAAGAACCACTGTATCAAGGCGACAGGATAAAATATTATGTGAAGGAGATTTTATCAATATTGAACTATACTTGTTCTAGATTATATCAATCTTTACTGTTTAGAATTGACTGTGGATGATAGACAAATATGCAGAGATTGACCACATTTGAGTTTACATGCTAACAATACATAAACAGGTGTATAACCCTATTTTAATTTAAAAAAATGAAAACAATCTCAGCAATAGAAATCGAAAAGTCAAAAACAAATATAAAATTTAATTTTCATTACAACCAATTGTGGCTAAATTCCATATAAACATACCTACTATTTAATTACATACAAAAAAATTTCAGAACCTCTTTAAAGGTTGTAATTGTAATGTAAGCGTAGCAAGTGAGTGAGAAGTTGGAATAAAGGGATAATGGAATAATAAGTAGCATAGAAAAGATAATAATTATTCGAGATAATTATTATATATTCCAAATTAAATAAGGGATAATTAATACAGATAACTTATACATTTAAATTATACAAAGTATAACAATTGACCTAGTTATTGCATTGTTTGTTAATTGTTTAAACATAGAAAAGCACGTCAAACAAAAAACTGTTATTGTAATGCAATATAGGACCCACAATTCAACGAAAACACGACCTTGGCACTATAACCGGTATTGAAAACATGAGCTCGATAAAAACTGGAAAACGGGGACAGCCAAGTCAGTAGTTAGTAGTCAGTCAGTAGTAGTGAGACGGCGGGCGTCCAGGCATCAATTGCCGCCCCGGGTACTCTCGACGCGGCAGCGTCGGGTACGAGTAGCTAGTAATGGGCAGTCAGTAATAGCGGGCCACCGTGGATCGGACGCGATAGCGTCCAGTACGCGACGACGAGAATCGGTGATTCTCCGGGGGCCGCGTATCATCTGCATAGTTCGCGTGTAGTCCGGTTATTGTGGCAGCTCGAAAGTTCGCAACCCTCAACTGACCGAGTTCCAGAAGACTGAACGTGTCGTGGTTGAAGCCCTAATATACACATAAGGTAACAGATTTCTTATACTAACCTGGGTAATTATATTAGTACCACTGTCAACTCTTCACTATCTTGCTACATCGTCTCCCGACGCGCAGAATAACGGGTTAACGATTGTATTAGTAACTTCAGGGTAGATTCAATATATTGTTGACTCTAATTTGGTTTTTTTTTAATGTTCCTTTCGTCCGACTCACTAGAGACTAGGAGAACACGAGATTCTGCGTATGCATATCTCCGGCTTCAAAAGTAAGCCCATAACCTCTGCTCTTTACAGGACCTGAGACCTAGGAGTCCTTACCCCTATCCCGAAATCCCTTATCTTCTCGTAAATCCACGAAGACGAGCCAGCCCTCCAGACCAGTGTGACCAGTATTCCTTGCAGCCGCTCGCAGGGTTAGCATCCCATGAGGATCTATTGTGTATTTCATTTGGTGACAGCGTTTTCCATAACTTCACATAACGCTCCCATTCTTTATTATTTTACATAATGTTAGTTACCTAAATATATTTTAGAATGAGAAACAAGAGAAAGAGAAGAAGAAGTACCTTTTAAAAGCTTTATATATAACATATACATTATAAAAACGTGGCAACACTGCCAACGCAATATTTCGTTCTGTGAAACTTAATTGACAGCTAATTTGAGGCTATCTTCACTGGTACCTAATGTGAAAATCGTCGAAAATAAGACTATTTTTATTTTCCATTAAAAGCATACTTTTGAATTTTGCCGTTCAAAATTCAGAGCATATTTTTTTAATCTGCCGCCTAAAATTCAGAACTTACGTTTTAAATTTGACGATAAATAAAATTAGTTCCAGCCCGTCCGCATTTAGCGTTAGAAACTTTCTCTAAAATCTTTCTATTGGACTTACCTTATAGAGGGCTATGGGCTATGTACTCTGAGTCTGAACAGTTGACCATTCTGACTGTGATATCTTATAGGTTATATTTTGTTTAAAAATATTTTTAAAATTATCTCGCATGTTGTTATTTATTTAAAATGTTTAGAACTCCTATACTAAGATGTATCAAACAGCTACACTTACTAGAAAACACGATAAAAACAACTGTCGTACATACTTCCAGCTTTCAACTACAAACAACTTCCCTTTATAAACATGGAGAAAAACCAGAATTAACAGAAAATAAGCCTTCTAACAGTGAACATAACTTTTTAGTAAAATTAAAATCAGATCCTGATACGTTCGGAACGCAACAACAAGAAGATACTTTAGTAGAAGATGATGTCAAAGAAGAGAAGTATTTTACTGAAAAACCTCTAAGATCTCAAAAGCTAAGCACCAAACGGTATGCAGATATAATTAAGGATCTAATCAATAAGAGAAAGATTAAAGAGGCCATAGATGTTGTAGAGGTTCGAATGTTAAAGGAGGACAGAGTGAAACCTGAAAATTATATATACAACTTGCTGCTAGGTATATTTTAAAAGTATTACTTCTCCATAAGATACAGTTTAGCCAAGTTTGTAATGTTCTATAATTAATATTGTTTTACATATTTTAGGAGCCTGTGGACGAGTGGGTTATACAAAGAAAGCTTTTATGTTGTACAATGACATGAAAAAACGTGGATTAAAAATCACAGCTGGTACTTACACAGCTCTATTTAATGCATGTGCAAACAGTCCGTGGCCTCTGACAGACGGACTGAACAGAGCTACTAAATTAAGAGAAATCATGATAGAGAAAGGCTACCAACCTAATGATACTAACTACAATGTTATGATTAAAGCTTTTGGAAGATGTGGAGATCTTCCTATGGCATTTTCTTTGGTAGATGAAATGATTTCAAAAAGTAAGTTTATAGATCTATTTTCTATTGTTTCATCTTTGATATTAGAAAATTAACTGTATTTTAATGGGCAATTAGGATTTTCTAGTTTGAATTTTTATTACATTATTTAATATAGTTTGTTGTGTCAAAAATCTAAATTTTTATTAGTTTTGGGTAATAAAAGATAGTATTTTACTTAGATACCAATATGTGGGCGTATAAGATATAAAAGAAACTGGTTTTCCTAAAAGTGTGCTAAAAAGACTTGTAGATTGAAAAGTATTGATGTCTGTAACATCAGTGAAAGACGAAATCTTCTGATCTTATTTAGTCATATTTATCAAAAGGATCTGTGAGATTTGAGGAAATACAGGAGGAAATAAGTAAAAATCCTAATGTAGCTTTTGCCTAAGATAGATGGGCATCTGTCCTAATTTTTCCTGTGATTAAATATAAAATGTTTGCATAAAAGTGTATACAGAATCCAGGATTTGTCTTAGAGAGCATCTAAAAAAATATTAAGCAGTTTAAAGTGGTAAAACCAAATTACAGAATTGTTTAATATACTTTTACATATGATTTAAGATTTTTCAATCAATTGGTGGAGAGCAAATTTTCAATCAATTGTAATCAAGAGTTTGGAATCTTTCAATTACACAAAGAATAAAACTTGGTCCAAAGTGTTTGTATATGGAGTCAGTAACTTTACGAAGAGGTAAGATATGATAATACTCATGGCAAAAAGTAGTTATCAGTTTGTCAAGTAATTGCAGCAATTTATTGGTATTATTAATGACACAAAACAATTACTTAAATAGAAAAATAAGGAACTCATTCTTCAGACTATAAAGTCAAACCTCATATTGCAGTGCTATTAGGCAGTAAGCAAACTTAATGCAGTAGAATGAGAAATACCAATAGCTCCACCTTATACTCCAGAATTATCACTCTGGAGATTTCCATCTTTTTAGAATCCTCAAAAAAATACTTAGAGGCCAAAATTTGTCAACCAATGGATCAATGGAAACAATCTTATCTGAAAGAGTTGATAGTTTAATTAAAAATAAACAAGGAAAAAATATTTTTAGAAAAGTTTGATGCTTTTGGGTATGCTCAAATTATTTGTATTTGAGTTGTCAAAATATCTTGATCTAAGTATTTTTTCCTTTTTTTTTTTTTCTATGAAAATGCTAATACATATATGACTTTTGACTATAATTTGAACATTTTCTATTACTTTCAGAAATTCGTCTTAGAGATGACACCATAAATTTCCTTTTACAATCTTGTATCAGTGACAAAGAAGTTGGATTCAGACACGCTTTGCTTGTTTGGAGAAAACTAGTGGATAAAAATATTAAACCCAGTATATATACTTTTAATTTGTTATTGCGATGTGTACGAGATTGTAATTTGGGAGACGTGGAAACAACAAAAGATGTTATTGATACTATTTGCAAACATCGAAAAATGATCGAAGCACCAAATATTAAGCAGCTGGAGGAAGGTAAGAAATATTGTTCTGTAGTTATAGTAATTATCTGAGTTCAGAGTAAATAATATTTATTTATTTATTTATCAACAGGCAATCGCTCAATTAAACTACAATGTAAACATTATTGATAAATAACAGAAGATTCTTAAAGTAACCTACTTAAATTAAATTTAAAAATTTTAACCATACAAAAAATAAAAGTAGGAACAGTAAATAACAAATATTAACAAAGAATGTACAAAATACAAGGACATCAAGCTATCACACACAGTTCTTAAGCTGAGCTTTAAATTTGTTTAGAATAAAACGAAAAAGATAGTCAAGATTTGATTTCACATACAATGTGTCTGTGTATCTGCTTATACGTATTTTGCCCTCATAGGGCTCATCAGCACAGCTATTCACAGGCGTTCTTGTTTGTTTGGAATACGTTGGAACAGTCCAACCTATGGAAATATTGATTAGCACACCTTGGTGTTCTAGACATGAAGAAATTGTGTCTGTAGTTTATGCGATGGGGTCTAACATAAAAGGGTTGATTTAGCCTTGTTTGTCTACTTGGAGATTAATTTTTTCTAATAGTAGAGGACCAAAAATAATAAGAGTGCAGTATACTATAAAACATAGTGAGATCTTTGTGCATGCGTCGCATTTGGATAAAAGTTATGTTGAGGGACCTTTCCATATTTGAATAGTTAATTTCATTAATCCTCTGGTTTTGTTTAAATGCAACAAATCTTACGAATTTGTGTTTAACTCTCTCAATAGCTTTAATATATGTGTTATAGTGATGAGACCAAACACATGAACAGTAATCTATGTGAGCTCTCACAAGTGAACACCATTTTTATGGATAGGATATTTAGAAAGTCTTTAGCACAACATTTGATAAACATAAAAGTTGAAGTGATTTAGAGACAACAGATGAGATATGGGGGATGTAGATTTAATGGAATTGAGCACAACACCTAGATCTTTTATCTGAGATACACAGTCTAAAGGGCAACCATTAATAGTATAGATATGACCATTAAATGACACATTTTAACATTAAGTTCCATTCCATTGCTGTCACACCAATAGCTCAACCGATCCAAATCAGGCTGTATGTCACCATAATTCTCAATTTTCAAACATAATTTTAAATCGTCAGCAAACATTAGGAAAGAAGCAAAAAGGAAACAGGAGACAATGTCATTAGCATAGGTATTGAATATAAGAGGTCCTAGGTATGATCCTTGTGGTACTCCTGAAAGTACCTTAATCACAAACGATTGAAAACCCTGAACACATATTATTTGTATTCTTTCAGTTAGTAAGGATAACAACCATTCTAAAAGTTCACTCTGGATACCCAGACCCAACTTATTGATTAAAATCTTGTGATTTACCTGGTCAAACGCTTTTGTAAAGTCTGTGTATACACAGCTAGTTTTCCAGTAGATCACGAACATCCTGTCTTTAATGACAGGTTAAAAATGTGAAAAAGTGGCCTAGAAAGTAAAAAACTCACCAAAGTGTTTAAGAAAAGGAGGTGGAAGACCATCTGAACCTGGCCCTGTGTTGCCATCCAAAATGGAAAGTTTTTCATATATAGACGAAATAGAAATGCTAAATTGTGTATAATAATAATAATATTAGATTTAGATATCCAAAAAGTGAAAGAGGAATGTTGAAAATTCTGGTTTTGGTCATGAAAACCTCCAATTCCATTTAACCTCTGTTAATTTTTATATTTTAAAATTGCTTATGGTTATATTGTGTTTTAGGCAATACAAGAATACCACCACCACCATTTCAAGACATACAAACAACAGAATCTACAAGCTCCAATCAAAGTCAAACAGTTCAAGTTCAAAATTCACCAGTCAGTACTGTAAATTCCAGGCCGAACCTTCTAGCAAAAATTCCCCATTTAGGCAATATAATCAGTCTTACCGAAGTGAAAGAACCTGAGCATCGTCTTCTGCTGTTAGGCGGATGTCGAGGATTCTTAGAAGAAATCGAAAATCGTGGATGTTCACCAGATATTAAAACATTTACTCAATTATTAGACTGTATTCCAGATACTGTGGCTGCCGAGCAAGAACTTTTGATCGCAATGAGGAAGTTTAACATTAAACCGGATCTAGATTTTTTCAATATGCTGATAAAGAAGAGAAATATGAGATCTGATAATAATGCGGCAAAGGTATGTCAGTAAATGACATTGACGTCGTAGACAAAACTCATAGAATTGATTTTTTTAGGACGTTTTGAAGTTGATAAAGAAAAACGGCTACAGACCCGATTTGATTACTTATGGAGTTTTGGCGATAGGTTGCAAAACTGAGGACGACTGTGTTCAACTCGTAAGCGAAATGAAGGATGCGTGTTATACGTAAGTTCTTGTTGTTTCAAGTCTCAAGTCACTTGAGGGAATTACTACGATGCTTTTCGAATGCTTTTAACGATATCGAAGCTTTTTCTATTATCTCAAGGATTTTTCAAAGGATTCTCAATGTACAAAAGCTTCCCAAAATTTTTTTTTCAATGATTTTATAGCGTTATTGAAACGTAAAAAGGTTTTTATTGATATATCGATTCTTGGGAGGCCCTTCCATAACATTTTCAAGTCTTTTGTTAAGTTTTAACATTTTTCTAGAACTCTGATTTTTTTCAACCCATTGTTGTACTTTAGAAGCTTTCTCGGCGCTTTTCCAAAGTATTTTCAACGGAAAAATATTTTGAATGCTTTTTCGACGCTCTTACGTTGTTTTTCATGGTGTTTGACGGTTTTGAAAATTGTTCAATAAATTAGAAACATTTTAGAAGCCCTCAAATGTTTTCGCAAACACTTTTGATGTTTTTCGAATGCTTTTGACACTATTGAAGCTTTTTCGCTGATTTCGAAGCTTTTTTGATGATTTCGAAGCTTTTTTGACGCCTTAACACTTTTCTAACTCTTTTGATGCTATTGAAGCTGTTTCGATTATCTCGACGCATTTTCAAAGGGTATTCAAGGCAAACAGCTTGTCAATACTTTTTCCAACACTTTTGAGGCTTAATCAACGATTTTGTAGTTTTTCCGAGGCTCTTGTCAACGTAAAAATTGTTTTTATTGCCTTCACGATGTTTTCAACGCGCCTTGATCGCATTTTCAAGTGTTTTGTTACGTTTGAAAAATTTTCGACGATGTTGAAACTTTTTTTGCCGTTTTCTTGATGATTTTTTACTCTCTATTGACGCTCTTTGACGTTTTCAACGCTCCTTGATACATTTTATGTACTTTTAGCGCTTTTCCGTCGATTTTTTTAACGCTTTCACAAATTTTCATTAATTTTCGATTCTTTTGAATTATTTTAGACGATTCTGCCAAGCATTCTTTTTGCTTTTCCAAAGCTAGTGACACTTTTGAAGCTTTTTCGAATGATCTAAAAGTCTTTTCAACATAAAAAAGATTTTCAATGTTTTTTTGACTCTTTCGAGGTTCTTTCGTCGCGTTTCCAAGATTTTTGACGGTTTTCAAATTTTTTCGGCCGCTTTGAAATTTCTTTAGCGTTTTTTGGCGAATATTAACGCTTGTCTTTGAAAATTATCCGACGTCTTTAAATTTATTTTACGTTTTTCACTCTTTTTTGGCACATACTGCCGGTTTTACAATAATTTTGAAGCTATTTTATGATTTTGGAGTGTCCTATTTTTACGTCCTATTGTTAGGACGGTTTTACCGATTTCTCAATGCCATTTCAACGTTTAAAAATGCTGTTTTAGAACTTTTTATTCTTTTTACTCCTTTTCGGTAATTTTCCAACCATGTTCGCTCCTTTCCAATGCTTTTCCAAAGCTAACGATGATTTCGAAGCATTTTCAGCGTTTTTGGCGCTTTCGTAGCATTTTCAACAGTTTGGAAGCTTTTTCAAAGTCTTTATACGCCTATTTAATCGAAAAATTTGCTTGATTTTTTTTCTCCGATTTCCCGACACATTTTCTTCATTTTCCAACGCTTTTTATTTGCTTCTAAATTTCCAAATCAATTTCCACACTTCACCTTTTTAGATGCCTTTGAAGCTGCATGGCGGCTTTTCCAAACTATTTTACGGATATTTCAACGCAAAAATTATACTTTTATGTTTTACCGATTCATTTTCAATGGATTTCCAAGCCTTTTCGGTGCTTTTGAGCATTTCCCGACGTATGCTGTTCGCTTTTTTAAAGCTACTGATGTGTTTTATTAAAGTGTTTTCGGCGTTGTTTGGTGCTTGTATAGATTCTTCAACAATGTTGACGTTTTCACCGCAAAAATGATGCTGAAGTGTATTCTTTACATAATTTTTTCTTACAAATTTTATTTCGAGTGTAGTATTAGTATTAGAAAAGTCTTTTAGTCACACAAACTGATAAGAGTGAATAAATGAATAAACACATATATCCAAAGTGAATTTATAACAGTTCTGTTTGACGTTTTAATCCACATTTATTGTTTCAGCTTAAATACAGAAATCCTGGGAGCTATGTTATACCAAGCTTGCTATCAAATGAACATTACATACGTGATGTACATCATGGACTTATGTTCGACAGAAAATGTTCCCCAATAAGAAAATTTATAGAGAAATTATCAGAATTTAAAGCAAATCTTTATAAACCGAACATAGAAAAGGTATCGTAATATTTTTGGATTCATCAGTACGTTTTTTTTATATTCTTGAACATTTTTTGCTGAAAAAACGAGTTCTATGTGCAGTTATACGTTTTTTTTTAATCTTATCTTTCTGACCTATATATTTTTATCAATTTTTTTTTGTTTTAGACGACATCTTTTATAAAAAATAAAGCACTGTTTAAAATCCGATACAAACGATTTATAAACGAAGTTAAGGTCGATGATTCTGAGAATGTACATCCATGGCAACAGTTCAGAGAAATCAATGAGAACGACCACAAGTACAAGCCGAAAGATACAGCTAGATTTAAGCCGAGACGGCAATCTTTGTTTAAGATTAAAACATCAACTAAAGTTAGACATAAAAAATAGTTTCTGGCATGTTAATTTTGTAAAATAAATTTTTATAGCAAGTGTGTACATTATTGCTTCCTTAGTAGCCCGGCCGCTGGGTATCTTCCTTATATAAATTTTTCTCTGAATACTAATACAGTAGAGCAGCCTTTCCCAAACTTATTTTTCCGTGGCTCGGTTATTTTTGTATTATATATTTTGTATTATAAACGATATTGAAGGAGAGTACAACATAGAAAATCAACAAAATCTAGAACGTCAACTATACAGTGAAGACGGAACAAGAGAAGTGTCAAATGATATCCTAAAGCTCAAAGACAATAAAGCCCCAGGAATCGATGAAATCTGTTCGAAAATGTATAAAAAATGTGGTGATCAACTTTTGCAGCAATCCATAAACTAATAGTACTTGTATGGCAGAATGAATAGTTACCAGAAGAGTGGCTGAAGGGAATAATATGTTCGTTTCATAAAAAGGGTGATCAACTGGAGTGTAAGAACTATAGAGGCATTACTCTGTTAGCATCTGCGTATAAAATCTTCGACAATGTATTGTTTGAAAGACTACATTTTACAAAGGATATTGTTGGTCAATATCAATGCGGATTTACTGCTGGAAAGTCAACTACACATCAAATTCAAGTACATAGGCAGATTCTAGAAAAGCAACCTACGGCAGTGTGAAAAGAACTGCATTATAGAATGCAATGATAGACTGGGATCCCACCTAAGTTATTTAAGTTGACCCAACTAACAATCCAAAACGTAAGTTTATGCGTTAGAATTGAAGGAGAAAACTCTACGTTCTTTGATATTACTATTGGTCTAAGACAGGGGGGCGCGTTGGCGTGTCTGCTCTTTAATATTGCCTTGGAAAAGGCAATCAGACCATTAAATATTAGAATGAATGTAACTATTTTTAATAGATCGACGCAAATTCTCGCATTCGCTGACGATATAGTTATAGTGGGCAGAAGTATGAGAAACATGGTGCAGTGTTTTACAAGGCTTGCGGACGCGCCAAGTGAATTAGTACTTGTGGTAAACGAGGAAAAAACCAAATATATGTTGGTTTCTAAAAACCCTCTAAATATCCAACAGAGAATTCAAATTAACAATTACACCTTTGAGCAAGTCAAAGAATTAACATATCTTGGATCGCTAGTAAACGCAACAAACACGATAAGCGACGAAATAAAAAGTCGCATAGCAATAGCAAACAGAACTGTTCACGGTCTCCAGAAACATTTAAAAAATAAAAATATAAAACGTTCAGTAAAGCTTAATATATACAAGACCTTAATAAGACCAGTTTTTATATATGGGACTGAAACGTGGACCTTATCTCAAAATGATAATAGACTGCTTGGTAATTATTGAGAGAAAAATTCTTGGAAAGGTATTTGGGATTTTCAAACCAGAGAGCACAAGAAGCAGAGGACGACCACGAAAGAGATGGATTGATGATGTGGGAGAAGATCTACAGATTCCAAGGGTTAGAAGACGGAGAGAAGTTGCCAGGAGTGGCGACTTCTTTGTGAGCAGGCCAAGCTAGATCCACAATCGATTGTCGAGCCACTTATGATGAGTCATTTTTGTGCTGATCCTTCGTGACCCACTAATTTTTTTATACCCTGGTGTGTGTGTACAAGAAAACATGTATTTTAATAAAGAATCATTAGCTCAAAAAAAAAAAATGTAATAAAACAAAAATAAAAATCAAATCGCTTCCGCTTCCATTTTGAAGGTTTCATGGATTCATTTGAAAGTTCAGCATAACAAATAACACATACTGGTTTGCCGTATAAAATATAATCTAAACTAGATTATGTATAATTGTACTTACAATTTATATACCAACAATAAACATTAATTCAGAAAACGAAAATAAAATATTGTAAACATTACATCAAAAAATTCTCTACAAATACCAAAAAATAATACTAATGCTGATACTGATACATTTATACAATTAAAATTTAGATAATTTTTAATTAATTAATTTAGATAATAATTGAAATTTAGATAATTTAAATCATAAAAGACTAGCTGAAGATCCTATTATATGATGGTCTGTGTAACTATATCCGAAAAGAAGCTGATTGCACAATTGCCTTGAAGTTGGT